GTCCTCGCCATGGACGACCTCGGTGAGTAAGCCGGAGGCTGAGAGAGAAGCGGCGAGGGGCGCGCGGCCCCGGGCGGGCGCGAGCGAGCGAGCGAGCGATCGGGGATCTCCCACCCCGGGTCCGGGCCCTGCCGGCCGGGGCTCCACGGACCGCGGTCCCACCCCGAGCCTGAGTGCGGGGGTGGGGGGGTGGGCGGGGGAAAGGGGTCCCGACCCCCGCCTCGGGGTCCCCTCCACCTCGGCCGGGGGCCCCAGCCGCCTGCCTCCGGGACAGGACCGTGGGGCGGCCCATCCCCTCCGCCCTGCGACCCCCTCCCCACCCGCAGCTCCCCGCCCCCACCCGCCCGGCAGCTGCTTCATCTCTGGGGCTTCGGCCCTGCTTTCGCCGACTCGTCCCACCCCCACACCCCTCCAGGACCCCCCCCCAACCCACTTCAGGGGAGATAGAACCCTTCCCCACCCCACACCCCTTTTCTTTTCCGAAGGTGAGAGTTGAACTCGCCATGACCACACACACACACACACACCCCACCCCACCCCCGTTCGAAGATAAGTTTCTCAGAGAACTCCATTAACCCCCCCCCCCCCCCCCCCCCCAATCTCCTTTCAGGTCTGGGTCATCTTAGTGGCTACTGCATTTCTCTGTATAGACCTAGTTCTCCATTTACAGACTGGATCTCTTTTTCATATCTAAACCTGGAAGGGCAAGTTGGGGAGTGATGATGTTCTTCTCTCCCCCTTCCCCTCCCCCACCCCCCTCCCCATCCCCAGGCCCTGGTGTAATAAATGCCAGAGGAATGAGGTGGGAGGTGGGCCTCAAAGTTTGGCCATCTGTGAACACGTCCCGACTGGCAGCCCTCCCCCCCCAACCCCCCTTCCAGCCTCAGGCGGTGAGCACACAGGTAAAAGGAGGACAGGATGCCCAGAACAGAGTTTTACTGTCTTCCTGTTATTGGAGCCCTGAGGCTGCTCTTTCCAGTCTAGTCTCCATCTGGTATTAGGACAGGGGGAAGACTCACCTGGAAGCTGACTCTTTTAAACCCAAATTGGTTGGTGCCAGGGTTCTAGGAATGCCTTGGGTGCTGCGAACCCCAGAGTGGAACGGGGGTTCTCTGTTCCCTTCATGCCTCAGAGCTGGGGAGGTGGGGGGAGGGTTTCTTCTATGAAGGAATCTTGTCTTCCTCTCTGTACTGTGGTGGGCTTGTGTGACCGCTGATGTGCCTCCTCTGTCCCAGGCTCTGAGAAGCAAATTCACCAGGCAGGAGGACTGAGGGGCCTCCTCTCACAAGCAGTACAGGGCACCGAGTGAAGGCTGGCATTAGACTTGACTGCTTCCCTGCAGCTATTGATTTATTTATTTAGTCGGGCGTGGGGCTTGAACTCTGGGCCTGGGCGCTGTTCCTCTGCTCTTCAGCTCAAGGCTAGCACTCTACCACTTGAGCCACAGTACCACTTTCGGCTTTTTCTGTTTATGTAGTGCTGAGGAATTGAACCCAGAGCCTCATGCATGCGAGGCAAGCACTCTACCACTGAGCCACCTTCCCAGCTCAGGCAGTCTCCCCACCCCCGAACAATCCTGGGGGATTACAGGGTCCTGCTTGTTTTGCAGAGTAGAGTGGCTGCAGAAATACTTTTGCCTTTGGGTCAGATTTGGCACCCATTTTTCTGGCATACTCAAGGTTGGTATGGCTTCCAGGCAGGTATTCTAACTTAAGAGGAGAAGAGGCTGAGGGATGTGTGTGGAATTAGGATTTGAAAGTCTCATTGCTTCTCTAGTGGGAGCCAGGAGCAGTGTTACAGTTGTAGCACCCTGGTGGGGCTCTGTTGCTTCTGGCCAGTCCCTGTGCTGTTTGAAGAACTGAGAAAGGCTTTGTAGAGTTTGCAAAGTCCGGAATTCCTGTCTTCTGACGGTCTTCCATTTAGGGCCAGGAACTGAGCTCTGAAAGGAAAGAGTATAGTGGGTTGGTGTGTGGGGGTTGTAGGAATTGTAGGAACTGAAATTTGCTGTACTTCCCCATTCCTGGATTTTACAATCCTTTTCTAAGGTCACTCTACGGCCACTGCCATCATGACTACCTGCCTTTTACAAATTGAGAAAATTTCTTCTTGAGAAAGGCTGATTCTCTTGCCCAAGGCTGCCTAGCCACAGAATGACCAATCAGTGACTGGCTACCTAGTATCTAACCCCTTGAGCATAGCTCTTGAATAGGGAGAAGCAGGCATGTTCGCTGGGGCCATGGCTGCCACCTGTGACTTTTGCCACCTCCCACTCAGCCTAGGCTGTCCAGTTGCTTGATCTGGGCTGCCTGACTTCCTTAGCCTGAGCTCCCAGGGGGCCAGCCATGCCTGGCTGACTGGGAGACTGGGTTGGGGGTGGGGGATGGGGTGTGCAGGAGGGGTGAGGAATTTGCCTCTGAGCCTAGGCCCTGTCAGCTGTCTGGATGGCTGCTCAGCACACTGCCGTCAGCTGTTTTCCTAAGTTGGGATGGACACACAGGCCAGGGCTCTTGTTTTTATTTTTCTTCTGAGAGTGTTTTCAGCTGTGAGACTCCTGATCCCTAACACAGGAGAGAGTTTATGGGGGTCTGCCCTGAAGGCTGGTGGAGGGGGGGGGAAATAAAGCCCCTGTAATGACTGTTGGGGTTTTGTTTTTTTGGGGGGGACTGAAAAAATATGGAGAACTCGTTCCCTCCCCATAGTGGCCAGTGACAGAATCACCATGTGCTATTTAATAAGTTACAAATTTATAGCTCTTTTGGCAGAAAAACATAAACACAGCATGTCCTGCCCTTTTCCCTGTGTTCTCTGCTCTGTGCTGCCCGGTGGCTGCTTGGTGGCTTTGCTCATTACTGTTTAGATGCTGGTTTGGCCAGGAGTTGGTTCTGTACAAGTTCTGGCCAGAGTTTCCTGGACAGAGTTTCTATAACACTGTGATGCACTCGGTTTACGCTTTCGGCACTGACTCCTCTCTCTCCTCATTCATGTTCCTCATGTATTTTGAGAGTTAGGGTTGAGGGGGACTTTGGCTACAACTATGGTCTAACAATGATCATGCTTGCTGGATTGGAGGCAGGTGCTGGACTCAGTTCTTTGAGTGGTACTGTAACCATCCTCTAAGAGGGAGGTGCTTTATCTCTGACTCCCAGATGGGGAAACCTGACCTCAGGTATGGAAACCTGACTTGAGGGAAGTTAAACAGTGGAGCTGGAGTTTGAACCTAAACTAATTCAATGGCAGACCAGGTCTTTTCTTTCTTTCTTTCTTTTTTTGCTGGTCCCGGGACTTGAACTCAAGGCCTGGGCACTGTTTCTGAGCCTCTTTGTGCTAGTGCTCTTGAGCCATAGAGGCATTTCCAGCTTTTTTGAGTAGTTTATTGGAAATAATCTCTTTTCTGTTCTGTCTAGCAGGCTTTGAACCTCCTATCCTTAGATCTCAGCCTTCTGAGTAGCTAGTATTACAGGCATAAGCCACCAACACCCAGCTCAGTCCAGGTTAGGGGAATAATTGATAGTTACCTTTAAAGTTTTTGCTCTGCTCTAGGGGCTGTCCCCAGGCAATAATAGCCTGTGTGGCAGAGGGTAGGACCAGTTCAAGACTTAAGAGCTTTGCTTTCCCATCCACTAGCAGAGGGCACAGCCAGCTGTTGGCAAGGCCTAGCTGCTGCTGGAATCTGGACTTGCCTTTCAGCTTCTCTGCAGTCTTGACCCTTGGAAAACAGTGCCTCATTGTCCTTGGGGGTAAAGCTAGGGGGGTAGGGGAGTCGCCTGGGGCAGATCCACACTATGGATCCTCCCTGTTTCCATGGCAAGTCTGGATTTTGGGTTTGCCTGTCTGTGGTGCCTGTGTGTGTTAGGCCAGGGTCAGGGCACCCAGCTGCTGGGTCTGTGGCAAAGGCAGCATTTGGCCTAGGAGTGGTGATGCTCTCCTGGTGGGCACTTGGTCATTTGGATGCTAGTAAGGGGCTGAGGAAAATCCCAACCCTGGTTTAATTGTTAAGCAGATGCCTTTTCTGACCCACATAACTTAGAGGGGAAAGGCCTGGCTTGTGGGGGGAACCATATCCCCTTCACCTTGAGGGAACATCTCAGCATTCCTTGTGCCAGCTTCTCTGGGGATGCCATGCTTTGGAGAGGCTGAACAAACCATTCAATGGCTGGAGAGCTCAATGGAAGGCCAGGCTCACACTGAGGCTCTCTCTGTGCAGCCCTCTTCCCTCCACCTGTACTCATCCTGCATGGAGTTTCTACTCTTCTGTGAGCCTTTACCTTGTTCCAAGGCCAGAAGTGTTGAAAGGATTTCCTCTCAGCTTCATTCCAGCCTTTTTGCAAGGTTGCCCTGGTCCCAATGCCTTCACTAATAAGAAAGCCAACTTTTTTTTTTTACAGTGTATACAGAATTTTCTCCATGATTTTTGTTGTTGTTGTTGGTTGTGGGGCTTGGGCTTGGGTGCTTTCCCCGAGCGCTCTTTTGCTCAAGGCTAGTGCTCTACCATTTTGAGCCACAGCACCACTTCTGGTTTTCTGGTGGTACTTTGAGGTAAGAATCTCATGGACTTTCCTTGCCTGGGCTGGCTTTGAACCGTGATCCTTAGATCTCAGGCTACTGAGTAGTTAGGATTACAAATGTGAGCCAATGGTGCTTGGGTTCCAGGCATTGGTTTATTTAGTGCTTACTATATTTAGGTGTACTGTTTTGGACACCATATAGTTATGCTGAATTGTGTATCCTAAGAAGCAGGTATTGTTGTTGTTATTACTACTAGTAGTAGTGTCATTGCTACCCATGTTACAGGGGAGGAAACTGAGGCCCAGACAAGGTGAGCCCACTTGCCCAGGCATGGCTAGTATTTCAAATTCAGATCATCTGAAGGTAGAGGGACTTGTAACCAACCACTCTTTACATTTCTGTTCATGATACTGTATTTGATCTTGGTTGCCCATTTGATTGCTTTCCATTTCTGGAACACCCCAAATCTTTCCTGTCCCCTCCCCATAGTCTTCATTCTCCCCCGCCCCTTGCAGT